AATTTTAAAAATCAGTTCTGTTTTAATTTCTCTTCATTATCTAGCTCTGCAAACAGTATAGATTTTATTTGACAATGACGACAGCGATGTAAGTATTCGCATTTCCTAATCGATGCCTTTTACTGCATCAAAAAACATCAATCACAACCAAAGTTATTAATGATTATAGCGTGAGCATTAATGTGAGCTTATAGTATCATAAAGCATGACAACGCGAGTTGTCATGACAACGCGAGTTGCTAATTTGTGGTTTTTCGCGCACATGCAATCTCTTGCTGTTGCTAACTGCTAAGCAACGGCGCAGATATCCTTTGCTAAAATAACGCCATTATTCTAACGTTAATTTCACCTCACTTCCGAAGTTAAGTTACAAAATCTATAAAAGCCTACATCAAAATTCTAAGAATGCTATAACGGGTACGGTGTATTTCATTTTTCTGCAACCCTGCTAAAAATCGCGAAGTTCCAACTCCATTTGCGAGCTGAATTGACCACAAAGAGGGGTCTTAGGGTCGGTTTTTGGTCAATTCTCAGTGTTTTTTTTCTGTCCCCGTTGCTGGAGGATTTTTTAAAGTTTAAAATATAGTATAGCATAGATAGTTGATACATTCGTTTATTATACGAGTTTTTTACAACAGTTGCATGTACATATTAAAAGGTACCGTCTATAAGAATTTTCAAAGGAAAATTGTGGCACTTGGTTGCATAATATGCAGATAGTCGAAAAATTGTGTTTTTGTTTCGTCATAATGAAACATTTTTGGTGTTTTTATGTCACATAAGTGATAAGTATGAAGTAGCAAGTGCCCAAGGCTGCAAATACAACGTGTTAAGGTTTTGCAGCTTCTAAATAGTAACCGTTCATATTAGAAATTGTAGTGGATAATTCTTGAATAATTGAATTTATCATTTGAAACTATATCAGTATACACGGTTAGTTTACTACTGGAAGGCTTTTCTTCTGAATCGTTTAATAAAATGAGGTGCAGATATAATATGATGATCAGTAGTGCAGGTGAGTACCCACTCTGACTTATATTGAAATTGAAAATTGTCATTGTTCTTACCGTGGTTAGAGAGGAGCTAATTGCCCATCTTCGACGCTTCATGCGGTCGCAGAGGTAACGTCATAACGACCGTAAACTTAAATATTTCTCAATAATTTTATGTGGAAAATGTAACTTACATTTGACAAGTGAAGTAAACTAATGACTCATGGCCCACCTACGTTATGAGTTTCATTCTTAAAGCTTTAACTGTAGTAAACGTGTCAAATTATTATAGGCTGTAACCATTTTTATTCACAGTTGTAGAACAGTATCCCCCTTTATATAATTATAAGTATAACGTGCCCACTGCCCCTGTGCACGGCTGCCCTGCTAGTGCGTACTGTACAACAATTATATATTGGAGTGAACATATTAAATTTCTTAATCTTATCCTTTATATCACTATCAGTTATGGAACGAAATAAAATCCTGCCCTCTTGTTCATTTCGTTCATATGATGCTATATGGCGCATGGCACGTCAGAGCTCAGCAGAGCTGATTTTAGCACAAAGATAAGTGACCCCGTTATAACGCGGTCCTCTGTACAGTATAGGTACAGTATAGATACAGTATTTGTAGATTTTGTACGCTCAATCTTTCCCAAAAACCGCGTTATAGAGGTGGAACACTGTATTATCGTTGAATTCTGCAGTTATCATTGAATCATTTAGTAACTCTAACATAAACAGCAACATTGAACATTCTATACAACAAAGTGAAACTTAACTTTTGCTGTTTGATTTAATGGGCTATAAGTATACTTATACAGATATGGGCATGGCCATGGCATGGATTCTGGTTGGGAGGTGAGCTGCATATGTTTTTGACACGTGACATTGATTTACTAGGGGTTTGATTGGTCAACAGTGCTTAATTTTTGTCACGTGTCAAAAACATGCCTTACCAGCTAATTCACATCTATATTACGATCAGTAAGGATGATGACAAATCACTCCACACTAGATTATCACGTGACTCAATTCAATACGTTTTTTCAATGTAATGGCTATGAGTATGAAGAACAATTTAAACCCAAACCCTCTACTCTGATCCTTACTCTAACACAATCCTTAACTCAACCCTAACGAGACATTTCATATGGCTGTGTCACGTGACCATAAAAGTTGTTCGCTGATAACTCGTCGGGTAGCATTCTAATCTCATGTCATGAAGGTGTCTGGTGCCATGCCAAGCACACCTTTTATCGCATTGAATCACCTCACCGACACTTCTGACATCATACTGTTCCTGCAAGGTGAAGCAGCAAAGGGTGCGGCCAGGCTACAAGCTTATGGCAGCCTCACTCTTGAAACTATCGCCTTCAGGAAGGGAACTATCAAAAATCATACCACTATCAACAAACAATTCATGGCAGACCTCATTATCCCACCTAGAGCAACAAGAGACCTAACATCACCAACCATGATGCTGGGACGGCACTTCACCGTCACAACTCCTGGAGCCGATACCACTGAATATAGAAATTCACTTCAAAACACCATTGACAACATTACCAGTGAAACAATCACCTGCTACACTGACGGGTCACTCACAGACTCAGGATGCGGGGCTGGCTATATCATCACAACTGACAACAATAACACCACCCTTGAAGAAAGATCATTCAAGCTCCCTGATTATTGCACTGTTTACCAAACAGAGCTCACCGCCATCATTGAAGCTTGCAAATATCTCTCTACCTATACCAACACACATATCATCATATGGTCTGACAGTCTCTCATCTATACAAGCTATCTCTGCGCTTTCAACGCGGAGTAGAACTACAAGAGACTGTTACGACTCTCTTAATGCACTCGGATCCAACAACACGCTAGAGATACGATGGATTGCAGCACACATCGGATTGTGGGGGAACGAAAAAGCAGATGAGCTGGCCAAGCTTGGTACAACCAGTGAATCCACTTTAAAGTGTCCAATTCCACAATCCTACATCAAGCGTCAAATCGACAACAAAGTCAACAGACTGAATCAGGAAACTTGGTTAACTGACGGTCCCAGACACACCAAACTGACACTCGGCCACAAGCATGCCAAAATCATCAAAAACCTCAACACTACACTCAGCAAAAACAGACAAGATTACAGAACTGCAGTTCACCTCATCACGGGTCACTGCGGCTTAAACAAACACCTTCACACCATTTGCAAATCAAACACCAGTGCTTGTCCTATGTGCGGCGACGGAGAGGAAACTGTCTCACACTTCCTTGGACAGTGTCCAGCTATTGCCCAAATTAGAGGTCAATATTTCCAGGACTACTACCTCTCTGTCAATGACATATTCGACAACCAACACATCACCACAATTGTCAATTTCGCAAACCGCACCAAACGCTTAATTGTGCCGGAAGAGCTGGATCAGACCGGGGTGACTTAAAGTATTATCTCATATGCTGTCTCGTCTCGTTTTACTTTTCCAAACCCAGCTGGCATTTAAGCGTATCATTTTGACTCATATATCATCTTACACCATCCTCCACCAATCACTCTGATTTCACCGGCAACCTTCCCCAAGGTTGCCACACCCCAGAGGTAGGCAGAGCATCTCAATGCTATCCTCTCGTTGGCTATCTTGGCCCAGCCTCTCTTAAAAAAAAAAAAAAAAAAAAAAAAAAATGTCATGAAGGTTCACTCAGTGTTAAAAATAATACGATTGAAGTTGGTTTCAACTGTCAGGGGAACCGGGGACCGGGATGTTTTAAAAAATCTCAAAGTTTACTGGGCAGCGCTCAGCCTGTCATTCGCCGTTCGGCCGAATCTTTATGTTTATGTTTATGTTTATGAACATCAGGATTCAGGCTCATGGTAGTCGGGTACCCAGGTAACTCAGACTCAGAGTGTTTAGTGAATCAGCACGCTCGGAGGAGAGCGCATAGTAGTAGTATAGAGCGCAGAGTAGTAGTAAAGGGCAACATACTTGATATTATATGAGTAAAACTTTCATTGTAAAACTTTCAGAGTAAAACTTTCATTGTTTTTATCAAATATAAGTGATATAGACGTGTTATAACTCCTTAATTTCGATGCTTCATGCGGTTTTACATTGAATAAGCACAGGTGGAACTGTTAAGTGCCATAAATAAAAGAGTTGACGACATAAAATTTTCATTGTTATTATCGAGCTGAGATGACAAAGAGTGAATTTCATAATTCCGACGCTTCATGCGGTTTGACGTAGGCATTAGATCAAATTTACTGTTTCTCGATAATTTGTTTAAAACGTAGCTTATTCAATATTCACGCCCAGTGTTACGTGTGTCAGATAACGGTTCACCAGGTTCTCCACCTCCGCCCGATCCAAACCATATCAAAATAGCAACACAACTACTATTTTACTTTAACTTAGTTAAGCACTTAATCTCCCCACTTCGTTTTAGTTTTCAAAATTGTTGAATGAGGGAAAGTTATGCTATTTCCCCCGTTTGATATACCCGGTTATTTTTGTATACGCCACACGAGGCAAAACATTCCACGAACTATATTATCTTTAATGTTTTATATCACGTTAACTACTCTCTCGCAGTTTATTATTTAGCTTTCAAGCATTATATTATTTTTTTTTCTATATTCTTTCAGACTTTTACTTAAGTCTAGTTATACATTACTTTATCATATTTTATCGAACTAAGGTGTAGTATTGCCAGATCCCAGTTCATTTTGTAACGGAGTTTTATATTAACAGGAAACGATGTAACAGGGTCGATATATTTTAATGTTGCCATGGGGTGGCAAGTCCCCATACATCATTGCTATTGTTGACATTTTGATTCGAACGAGTTTCGGACCGACTTATTTCGACTTCTAAATGTCGATTAGTTCCGAAACTGATTTATTCCTGCATTTCATTGACTCTTACTGACTCTGATCTAACTATGAACACAATATAGCTCAGTATATTAAAGGTTTTAGCCGTGACCTTCATCTTCAGGATGACTAAACTAGCACTCGTGTTATTTCTGACCATTCTTGTGGCGACTGTTGGAGGAAAAAAGGGAGGAGGGAAGGCGAAAGGACCGAAAGTATGCAATGAAAAGGATAAAACTGCCTTCAGAGCATGTCTTAAAAAAGGTAAAAATTTAAATATAAATTATTTCTAGCATATTTCACACACCAAAATTAATTCATTGATTATACCTTAATGAAGATTCGATCAACATATTTAATATATTTAGTGAAATAATATATTAGTGAAATGTTTGACTAAAATTGTAGTTAACTAAAAATCTAGTTAACTACAAATTTTGATGGACACAAATTTGTAATATTTATTACACATTTCACTGTACAGTATAATACAACTAAGAAAAAGATTGAACGGGAATCAATTTCTTATTCACTGCCACCACGAAAATTAGTTTGGTTTTTGGAAAGATTATAAAATAAATGTAATGATCATATTAGTTCAGAATCAGAAATTTCAGGATAACATTTTTACAGGATTCGAGTCAAGTATAGATAAATGTGACAGTGAAGATGCCAAGAAACCGCTGAAAGCTAAAGAAGTCAAAAAGTGCACTGCATTGGAGAAGAAGTTAGTTAACTGCGGTTTCGACTGCACAGAAAAGGCACCAATGACACCAGAAGAAGTCCTTGCCACGTGTGGCCACGAAGACAAAAACTTCCCAGGAGCGGAAATGTTTTCGAAGATATACGTCTTGAAAGAGGACTGCGTGAGGGACTGTCAGCTATCGGAGTCGTGCAAGGCTATCTCCTACAGACTCTCAGATAAAAGATGTTACTTCAAGTCTAGCGAGGGAGGGAGTGTAGGACCCACCGTGGAGGCAGGATGGATTAGTTCTAACATGGAATGTGATAGATCCGACGTAGATCAGCGCTGTCAAAGGTCCGGTTTCTATTACTACGGAGCAGACACAAGAAGCCTCAAATCTGAAAGTCTAAGTCACTGTGCCCTTCTCTGCAGAGACACGGAGAACTGCAAAGCAATATCTTACAGGGAGACGGACGGACTTTGCCATCTGAAGAACAGGCGAGGAGGGAGCCATGGACCAGTTGCAGCTGCTCAAAATATAGCCATGAACTTGGAATGCGACAAGAGTCGAATAACTAATTTCGACTGCATGAGAGAAGGAATAGCTTTCTCGGGAGCTGACCTAAGGAACGTGGTGGTTGCTCGGGCTGAGGAGTGCATCCAACACTGCAAAGATACAGAGGCTTGTAAGTCCATCACCTTCAGAGGCTCTGACCACCAGTGCTACCTCAAATCAAAGTACGGTGGAAACTACCCCACATTTTCACCCGGACACAAAAGCATGGACCTGGACTGTGACAATAATGAAGTGAACCTTAACTGCATGAGGAAAGGATTCAATTTCCCGGGAGCCCATATGGGAAATCTGATAGTCACTGACGATAAGGAATGCGTGAAACGTTGCAAAGATACAGAGGGTTGCAAAGCCGTCACGTTCAGAACTGCGGACAACAGATGTTATCTGCGGAACAAAGCCGGGGGTGACACAGGACCTAATGCAGCAGCTGGACACAACAGCATGAACTTGCAGTGCGACAACAGCGCCGTCAAGAACCTTGGCTGCATCAGAGATGACACTAATTTCCCAGGAGCTGATCTCAGGAACTTCGTCGTGGAGGACAAGGAGGAATGTGTCAGACATTGCAGGGATACAGAGCTCTGCAAAGCAGTGGTCTTCACAGTCTTATCTGACCAACTCAGATGTTACCTGAAGAACCGACGTGGTGGAGCGAATGTCCCGGTAGTGGCGGCGGCTGGGGTTCAGAGCATGAACATGGAGTGTGACAACAGCAAAATCGACAACCTAAACTGCCTCCGAGATGGAATCAACTTCAGTGGAGGTGACATTGGGAACACCATAGTGATAGGGGTTCCTGCGTGCGTGAAACTCTGCAAGGACACCGAGGGTTGCCAGGGTTTCTCCTTCAGGGTATCTGACAAACGATGCTACGCCAAGAACCGCCGAGGAGGATCCTCCGGACCCAATGTTGATATTGGGTACAACAGTTTAAACATGGAATGTGACAACACACCAGTCACCGAGACTATGAAGTGTCTAAGGAAAAGGATAAATTTCGCTGGTAGTGACCTGAGGAACCTGGTGGTGGCGGACGTTGAAGAGTGCGTGAAGCACTGCAGAGACACGGAGAACTGCCAGGCTCTCACCTTCCAAGAGGCCACCCACCGCTGCTACCTGAAGAATAAACGAGGGGGAGTTTCAGGACCAACAGTAGCTCCTGGATACCATAGTCTGAACATGGAATGTGACAACAGTGAACCTTCACAACTCCAGTGCGGACTGATGCAGGAGAAGTTCCCTGGATACACGATCAAAAGTCTCACTGTGGCTCACTTTGAGGAGTGTTTGAGACGTTGCAGGGATACGGAGGGGTGTCAGGCAGTGTCCTTCGGGGAGACAGATAACGTGTGTGAGCTGAAGAACAGGACCTTCGAGTGGTGGACCATCAAGAGCCATTATAAGAGCGTCAACATGGATTGTTAGGTATTCGGACAGACAATCATAGGTCGCATGAAAGACGAACGGTGATCCAAATGTGTACCCCTAAAGATACCTCAGGGTATATTTGGGTACCGGTAGGGTTCCCTTAGGTTCCCTTAGGTTCCCTTTAAGGGTACTATATAGGTGTGATAACATCGGTTTTCTTTTAGACGACCTAATCGTATCAGCAGTGCCTGACTATTGATTTAAATAGACAGAGCAATTATATTGAAGCATCCATTATTAAGATAGGTTTCTGGTTTACAACGTTAAATTTCTCTTGTAGGTAATTTTCTTAAAACACATTTTAAAGCATGATATTAAATGGTCAGGTACTAGATATGTTATGAATAAGATTGTTAAAACAGATATTGGATTTTCAGGTTCAAGTTTAATAATTCTATCGACATGTTCCGACAGCTTTTTTCAGTTCAGGACTACTTTACGGTTCTAGTAACAAACTTCCCTGCCAATACACAAACTGGTACTGGCAGAGAAGAACTGAGGATAACTTGAGTTACTCGCCTCGTGAGGTAGCCCTTAACTTGATATTGCTGCAGTTTGGGAGTCGGTGCACTATTGTCAGCAGTATAGTTACAAGGTTGTGAAGGATCGGTGCACTGACACCCACTCGTTAGCAATATAGTATCCAGCCTTTGCAATTGTGAGGGAAGGCCAAACAGGCCTGATAAAGTGGACAGTGAAATACTTTTACTGATATATCGTCAGCAATTTCAATTTCACAATAAATCATGCAAATTATTGAAACCTGTGTCATAACTTGTTATAAAAACCGTAAATAATATTGTTGCATCGGCAGAAGTTACGCTGTGACTAGGGGTAGTGACCAGAACAGTAGAAATAATAGTAATCTAACTTTTAAACGAGTCTGTCAGTTTCCAGATCTACTCGTCGGAGAAGTAGTCATCATCAAAGTGGAAGAAGTCTTGAAGGGGCTAGGTGGCCTAGTGGTTAGAGCATCCGCCTTCTGCGCAGAAGGTTCAGGGTTCGAATCCCAGTGTCACCTAGTCTAGGGAGTAACTAAGGATCCATTGGATCTATGCGATCTCCTCGGTCGACTCAGCCGAATGATAGGAAAATTAATTGAGGGTTAAATCAGGAGGGGTACCTGTTAAAAAGTTCAAGAAACTTCCTAGGATACCCCTTCAGTACATACTGTAAACATAGTACTATTAAGTCGGAGTCGGGGTATGAAAAATAATGCAATGTCTCAATGAGGCATACCACTCTGTAATAGGTGGTGAGTTTTTATTTAAACTCTACCCTAGCTTTAAGCTTGCCCATTTCTAAGTCGGTTAAATTTCATCCATAGATCACATCACCAAGGAATCGTCACTGATTGGGTGAAATGATCGGATCTCTCTGGGTACCAAATTAGTGTGGTTCGTGTGGGTCCGCCACTGAAATTGTGTCATATTCTATATGTTTCTCTGCGCGTATGGATCGGAGATCTAAGAAAAGCCAAATTTTCGGTAAACAAATACAGAAGAATTTATAGTACAATTAACCACTAACATAAGAAGATATTAGATAACACATACAATGAAAACATCCTAAACTACATAGTAAACACGATAAGATAACAATGTTTCCCCTTCTCCCCACTACCTCCGTTCTTACCTGAGGACCCCAGGCTATTATGTTCATTAACATAATAATGACGTTCATTAACGAATAAAGATTTGGCGGAATGACAGGCTGAGCGCGGCCCAGTAACCTCCGTTCTAGTTCTACCAGACTTGTTGTCCAGTTCTCATCCAATGACCATGTGTACACCTGTCTCTCTGTTTCAGTAGTGACTAGTGATCAGGACAGTAGAGGTGAGAGATAAAATAATAAAAATCAAACTTTGATCTACTCGTCCGAGAAGTCTACTCGTCGGGGTACTAGTAGTAGTTACTAGTGTAGTGGTCAGCATAATCGTCGCATTCCGCCCAATATGCTTCGGCTCTGTTCAAGTCGTCATCGAAGTTTCTATAATAGTTAGACTTAGGCTTCCAGTCGGAGTGGGAGTAGGACGTGAAGTCGAAAAGATCAAATCTTGTGACCTGGTCCAAATTTTGACAATAGAGGTTGGAATCATCTTTTATGGCTTTTTGGATCGTTTTGTAGGCTTTCTCCGGTTCACAATATAACGGAATCTTTGATATTGTGGTGCCCAATTTGGCCCATGCTACGATAAATGGGCTACATTTGAAGAATTCATCAGAATATGTGATGGTTGGAATTTTGTCTGGAAAAACTGAAACCACAAAGAAAGATGTTTTATCACCATATCCACCTTTCATCGTATATTTGTGTGAGAAACTGATACATATTTCATCCGTTTGACAATATTTTCTCTTCTGAACATTATTTAGGGTGAGTGATAGTTGAGTACCATCGCTATAGAAAATCGACATGGGTATGTAACTCAAATTGGTAATCGTCAAGTTCCTTAAAACTGTTTCAACATGATTAGCACGGTATTTGGCGACGGATTGCTCAAGTCCCATCAGATTTATGTCAAAAGCCTGCTTCAAAAAATCAGGAACAAATGATACATCTTCAGGTTCATTGGCATGCATCCAAGACAGAAGACACTCTATGACACAGAATTGGTCTGATGCATCTGTAAGTAGCCATGGGAGGAAGCGGATGTCATCTTTATCCAGCATCTTCCAGCACGAAAAGAGTGTGCTTTTTTCTTTCATTTGCCGTAGGGAATCCACAAGTTCGTCCTTCCTACAAATTGCTGCTTTAAACCCCTGAATAGATTTAACATCCTCAGATGAAACACCAGCAGGGGTTGTGTATCTACCAACATAATTTCCTTCTTGTTCATGGTCTTCCGCTGACATTGCTATCTAAAATGAAATATTTAAAGATATTCGACATGTTCCTAATAAATTGATAATACAAGTAGTAAATCTAGAAATTATCACTGCTATTAACTTAGTAAAGCAATTTCAGTTGTCCCCTAGTCTATGACTACAATTTTACCGGGAAAGCAACTCTTCAAGTCAGAAGTTTTAAAACTTAATTAGGAGAAGTAAATTATACTTCTGAAAATAGAGTTTAGGCATCAGCTAATAAACTAATGGCGAAATCTAGTGACTAAAATTAGAAATAACAGTTTTGACGTTCGTGTTGATGAAAATAAAATAAATTATGCCTGACGTATAGTTTGGTTTACTCATGATGCTATGTCAACTGTCGAGGCAGTCAAATCATTTCTTTCAGCATCACAGCTTATGCTTGAGTATGATGATATTTCACTCTGACAATATTTCACTGTCAATCTTCTACTGATCACGACACTCACACTAATGACTGAACACTGACAGTTAAATAAATTAATTACAATGCTGGCAAGCATTACCGTTGCCATTCACAATACTATTTATCCCCTATACAATTAAACCCCTTATTGTTTTTCAGGCATTAAGACTCATCTATAGTTGCCATTATATTCACAATACTATTTACCCCCTATACTATTATACCCCTTTATTGTTTTTCAGGCATTAAGACTCATCTAAAGTAGTTCAGCAGCTGTATATTTAAGTTCAAAACATTCGAATTCGATGTTAAAGATGACAGGAATAAGAAATAGTTATATGGAGGTTTTTAAGAAATTTGCGCAAAATACGCGCCAGCATGTTATACGAAATTAGATAAAAAACCCAAAATCGCCATATTCAGGTGCCTTAAAAACCACGTTAAAAATGAGTTAGAGTTCTGAAATTTTGCAGGGCGTCTAGACGTTGACCAAATCGACTGTAAAATGTCCGTCCAAAGAAGGTCCAATAAGGTATACCGTATGTATCCGTATAAAGAACAAATGAAACAAAGTTCAATTAATGATGAGTTCAACTTTAAGTTTCATACTACAGTGATTAAAACTACAGCAATCTTCAGGAAGCTGTAGATCTAAAATATTTCCTCAAAAGTCAGTTCGCTCCGTATATATCCGCCGCAGACTAGTGACTAGAACTTCCTCCGTTAGCACTCTTCCTGGTCTACCTTATTTGGACGGACATTAATTGAACACTGGAGGCCCTAACGTTCATCTTAATGTCCGTTCAAATAAAGGTTAATAGCCGGTCAATAGCCGGTTAATAGCTGGTTAAAAGCTGGTTAATAGTCGGTTTATAGCAGGTTAATAGCTGGTTTATAACTGATTTATAGCTGGTTAATAGCCGGTTAATAGCCGGTTAATAGCCGGTTAATAGCCGGTTAATAGCTGGTTAATAGCCGGTTTTAGCAGGTTAATAGCCGGTTAATAGCCGGTTAATAGCTGGTTAATACTGGTTAATAGCCGGTTAATAGCTGGTTAATAGCTGGTTTATAGCTGATTTATAGCTGGTTAATAGCCGGTTAATAGCCGGTTAATAGCTGGTTGATAGCCGGTTTATAGCAGGTTAATAGCCGGTTAATAGCTGGTTTATAGCCAGTTAATAACAGGTTTATAGCCGGTTTACAGCCGGTTAATGGTCTGGTAATAGCCGGTTAATAGCAGGCTAAAATCCAGTTAGAGTTCTTAAATCATCACTCATCCTAATTGCTTAATTGCTGCTTAATAAGTTAATAACCAGGTAATAGCCAGTCAATAGTTGATTATTAACCAATTATTAGCCAGTTAAATCTCACATTCAGTTGATAAAATTGATGTAAATAGATTAGACGATTAGTAAACTAAAACAATCAAAAATGTCATGTGAAACTGGTTAAACTTTTATTTGAATTAAATTCAATTTTGATTGTAGTGTATTTTAATGCTTTGTACAAGTAACTAATGCTATATTCAGGAGCCTGAAGTGTAATAGGAAAGATTTGAACACTTGTTCAAATCTTTCCTATTACTTTGAAAATTGTATAATTATCACGTGACATCTTATAACCCAGAATTATAAACCTAGCCCAAACTAATCTTTCAAATCAGAACATCTATTATCTTATTATTAACAAAATCTGTAAACGCCAAATCCAGAATACTCCGTTTCAATTAACTTTATAACCCAAAGTGTATTAAACCGGGACCATTAATACTGTGCTCTAAAATTTACAGTACATGTACTAACCTTTTTAGTTCATGTACTAACCACTAACTTTAACCGAAAAGTTATTTAAATTGCCTAAAATCCCAGTTAAATAAATATTAACCTTATAATGGCACAAAGACACACAGGTATGATAAAATCAATTGTCACCTTGCAAAATGCAAATAAAAGTCTCAAAATCTTGTAATAACATTTCAATAGAACATACGCCGCAGTAGATTAAAATTCACCCCTATTAAAGATCGATTTTTAAACCGAGAAAATAGATTTTAAAAATGTTTAAAAATGTTTTGAAACCATATTATCATAATGATACTATAAGTTGGAAAATAACTTAACTAGTTAAACTAAACTAAATGAAGTATATAAGTTTGAGTAAGGCCGTAAGGGTAATTTTTATTTTAAATTGTCTCTGATAGTGATGCATATATAAATATATAATATGCAAGTTTTTTAGCTGCAAGGTCAGTCCTTTAATTTGCAGAGTTGAAAAATACGTATTTAACGTATTTTATATAATATCAAAAAAACGTTAAATACGGCGTATTTTATTTTCGCTGAATAAAATTCGTTAAAATACGTTACAAGTGATTTTGTAGCATTAAGAGCTCCAATGAAATAATAAGTACTATTTCTATTTATACAAGATAAAAGTTTGATTAAAACTCGCGTAGCTCTGTAGTTTATCACCTCGCGTATGATTTA